TTGTTATGCATTTTATTCGTATATTTCTTGTTATAGACCTACTTATGTAATTATTACCCACTTAGCTTTTGTGATCACCCACTTACTGATTCGCAGTCATTACTTGTTATTCTTTTTGTTTTTTGGTCGTCCTTTGCTAATTATTAACTTTTCTTGTTTGCTTTTCTACTATACCGAATGACTGTTGAAATGAAACCTCTAGACAACGACATCCCCGAGATCCCAGTATCCGGCATTTATTTCCTTAAAACTTAGTTAAGATTCCCAATTGAGGTGTGAAAGCTCCTACGAGTGAACGGCTGGACTTATCACAAGAACTTACCGAGTGCCGGTAACCATTTCTGAACACCAAGAGGCTGCTGAGAAGAAATCACCTGGTTGGTGTGAGATAGTAAAAAAGATATTCAATGCATATAAAAATGTCAAACTAATTTAACAGTTGGCGTAATTCAATCACTTACATCTTACTTTCTTCCACCTTCACTAAATATATCTCTAAATATTTCCATTGAAATCCCCATTGACCTGAAAGAACAATTAATGGTTAGCGTCTACTCAACAATTAGCTTCAGAATAGCACGATTTACCAATCCTGCTAGACAAAGAGAGATCATAGGTTCAACCAGCTTTCTGATCAGATGGTAAGAACTGAAACTACGTCTGGTGACTTATTTTTACTTCACTTTCTTGCCGTAGGGATCTACTTCTGTTATTTCGTAAAGGGGTAGGAGTTAAGATCCCTTGTTGTTGGTAGGTCTGCGGTTGACACTCTTCTAGGGGTAGAGAGTCAGTAAAAAAATATTATCTAAACCTCCACAACAGGGACACAGAAAACTCGTTAGCCTATACACCGAAAAAAAATTGTTCATCCTGAAGCTTGAATGAATGACCATAGGAATGATGTGGTTAGTTGTCCAAGTACTTCAAACATGATACTTTTAAAATCAATAATGTGCACTAGATTACTTTGGTATTTGTATTTCCAAATGAATATAAAACTAAATTTGTTTTAACTGACGTTTCGTTATTAAATGCTGATAGCTTTATAAGAGTTATAGTGGACCGAAATTTGCGATATAAAAGCCTACATATGTGTTCTTCTGCATGAATGATTTTCTTTGCTGTCAAATTGTTGAACAAGGGTAATGAACATAGTAAATTATAGTAATGGTGGATAGTGGCTAGCAGTGGAATCCAGAATACTCATTTCGTCCTATTTGGGACTCACCAGCTGGGTGTACCTACACCCCAGTGAGTTGTTGTTCCCACAGGAATTCGGATTCGAGAGCGATCGCCTCAAACGCCTAAGCGTTATCCACTACACCACCGAACCACGATGGCCACTTGTTACGCGACGAGTATACTTTTAGTATAATTACTTGTATTATACCGTCGTTGATTGGACCGAATTGATGGGTCTTTATTGGTATATGGGCTCCTCTGCGGATGTCTCGATATTACCTGTATTCGAATTATAGTAATGATGCATAGTGGCTAGCAGTGGCAGTGCGCATCCTGGATTCCACTGGTAGCCACGGTCCATCATTAATACAAGTAGAGCACGGGTAATATCGAGACATCCACACATGAGCCCATATAGCAATAGAGACCGGTCAGTTCGGTCCAATCAACAACGGTGTAATACAAGCAATTATACTAAAATAGTGAATTATGTTTGAAGAGTATGTGAATTATAGATTCAGGTTTGTATATGCACATGTGCTGATAGCTTGTATTGCTTGTACGTTGGTTATTTCAGTATGTGTGGGTGGGTTGAAACCAGCTATAATTATGTTTTATTCCCTCATTCCTATTCAAATAACTTTGATTCCACTTTGTTTGAAAAGATTCTATTATGAGAAGTTCTTTATAATTTCTAAAATCTTTCTGAATAGTTTGGTTATTGTCAAAATCAACCATGTGACCTGAAATTACAGGATAAAGAGGTGTGGCTGAAGTCTTTTCAAACTTTTTCAGCCCTACTGGATTTCTAGGGGGTCAGGTTGAAGCCTTTCGGTGTTCATTCTTTCTATTTTAGATTTTACGGGAAGTCTGTTCCCTGTATACTACATCAAAGTCTGGCATTTTATTTTATAGATTTTAAGTGAAGATATTCTAGACTTAAAGCTAAATGAGTCCCTTATTGTGTATTCTGAGTGCTTTTGTAGGGGTCTTAGTATTGAAAGGAGATGTTTAAAGGGGTTGTATGCTGGTGAATCCCACAATTGGTCTCAATGGAACGGAAGGTTTATGGATCTTGAGTAGACCGTAGAATCTTAAAGGTATGTAGGACTTAGGTTTAAGTTTGAACCAAATTGAGCTGCCGATTTTGAGTTTCAATTCCTGAAGTAGTCGATTAGTGTTGAGTTTCATTTGGTTCAGTTTGTCGGATCTTTTCTTCTCATCATCAAGTGTTCACTTGCTTTCCTCTCATAATCTGTTAATCACTGTTATATTCCTTTTATCTGCTTTTGTTATTACAATGTTCTTGTCTTCTCTCAAACTCTTCAGCGCTTAAAATTCCTGTTTATTGATGTTAGAAGGTATATTTCTTTGCGTAGCGAGGATATGTGAAATATTCTGATGTACAATCTACGCTTCGTCATTAGGTAGTGATTCCAACACCAGTCCAATGATTAGTACTGTCTCATGAAGCAATAATGGCTTTCGGTTGATGCTGAAATTGGAACTTTGCTGTATAATGAAGTCTCATTTTTATTTAGAATCTTATCTAACATGTTATGTATTAAATTAAGAGTCCACATATCATATTTTAGTGTGTATTCTGTATGCTTTTGTCCTGTTAGTTTGAAAACTTCTTGACTTGCCTTCTTTTGGTAACATTGTGAAAATGTGATTCACATTGTTGGAACAGTTTATGAATAGATTCAAGCGTATCAGATGCAATCACTTTTGACCAACACTTATCAGTATTTCTAATCTCTGCTCGATAAAATTCAAGCTTTATAGTGCTATTATGTATTCTTTCACGGAGTAATATACGGGAGATATGTTGTGATTTATTAGAATGGTCAAGAGGTTTAACACAAATATTTGGGGATAATTTTACTATGTAAACAGTGTAGACTGAATGTCGCACAAGAAGTGGCTATCGTGGTTCGGTGGTGTAGTGGATAACGCTTAGGCGTTTGAAGCGATCGCTCTTAAGTCCGAATTCCTGTGGGAACAACATCACTCACTGGGGTGTAGGTATATCCATCTGACGAGTCCCAAATAGGACGAAATGAGCATTCTGGATTCTACTGCTAGCCACTAACCATCATTATTATAGTTAAGGCATAGGTAATGTCGAGACATCCGCACAGGAGCCCATATACCAATAGAGACCGATCAATTTGGTCCAACCGACGAAGGTATAGTATAATAATAATTATACTAAAACTATACCCGTCGCAAAAGAAGCGGCTATCATGGTTCGGTGATGTAGTGGATAACGCTCTGACGTTTGAAGCTATCGGTCCCGAGTCCGAATCCCGGTGGGAACAACATCACTCACTCCAGCTGACGAGTCCCAATTAGGATGAAATGAGTATTCTGGATTCCACTGCTAGCCACTATCCATCATTAACACAATGTAGGCTGAAGATACAATGATTATAAAAGTTAAATTTATGCTGAGTTAGAATAATCCTTATTTTTAATCATTTTAGGGATATCTAAACCAAGTTGGGATTCGATGGTTTGAAAAAATTTTGGCATTGGGTTTATAATGTTCTCTATTTAGGTATTTGTATTTCCTAATAAATGTGAAATCAAGTAAATTTGTTCTTACTAACTTTTCGCTGTTTAATGCTAATAGCTTTACCAAAATTTTAGACTATAACTAACAATCCATTAAATCCCAAATTGGTTTGGATATTTGTGAATATGCACTACATGTTGTCCTTTTTCTAGAAAGCACAATTTACACCAATAAGCCTTTTTTAAAGTTAAGATTATAAACATAGACATATGAAGTTAAATTGTTGAAACTCCATTTCGCTTGTTTTATCAGATATATCACTCAGTGAAACAGTATTACTTACAAGAATATGTTACGGATACCATATTTTGTCCATAGTTATCGCAACTTTGAGACGTGGCTTATATAGTTCTGATTCTCCATCCTTCGTGATATATGTCGAATATTCAATATATATATCTGGACTATGTGTTGGGTCATTCCTGTTGCACATACTTGGTGTTGAATGGATCAGCACAGATTCGGTTACCAATATGCGTACCTCCATCCCACTAGGTTACTTCAAGGATTATCACTCTGTCCTATCGTGTTGTGTGCGGTTGTGCGCAATCGCATGCATAGTCGGGTATTTTCTAGATTTCTTATATAACTAACGTCTAAAAATCTTGATTTAGTCAGATATTTGTACTTATACAGCCTAATTGACCCTAGTTGACTACTTTGACCTAGAGAGAGAGGGAATTACGACTATATAAAACGTGTCTCAGAGTAGACTTCACACGGTTGATTAGTTGGACTTTGCAGAAAGTTGTACATTTTTGGGAGGGTTACATTTCAGATATTTCCTCGTACCTGTTAATAACTCCGAATAGGCTTAGGTATGACGCTTAACTAGATTTGCATGAATCTTCACCCCAGAAAAATGCGTGTATGGAGTCTGTTTACGCCTAATCTTTATCTTAACCATTGTATCACCTTCCGTTAGTTGCCTTAACCTTTTTTCTTTATTACTCATTACGACTATTGTACTTGTATGATGTCTTTTCTTTTGTTTTTCATCTTATTACGCCTTATCTTGATATGTTGATGGGAAGTGGGGCAGGTCCATGCAGTGAGTTAGAGTCTTGTACACGAACCTACAGTTTCATTCCTCTCTATGCACTTTTTCTTTTTATGCTGTTGTAAAGTGCAGTAACTTAAGGGGATGCGCTTACGTGCTATATTCTGCGTCTGTTTGTAATAATCTATGCGTGCTAACTGAGGTTATTTTTTCATATTCTATCACATTTAAATGTAGTAAGAAGTATCCAAAGATAAAGTTTAAATGTCCGCTTCAGATCAAATGTCATCCTTGTATTCATGTCAATAATATCACTACAGGTAAGCGGTTCTTTGCTTCACAACTCACTTTCATAGTTCTTGATGCTGTTAATATTTCATCTGGAAGAAAGAATGTCACCAAGTTAAGTCCTGTTGCTTTAGATTGTGAAATGGTTGGTGTTGGTCCTGAAAAATCTAATGCTTTGGGGCGTATCAGTATTGTTGATTATGCAGGAGAAGTGTTGTATGACGTCATTGTTAAACCTGAGAAAGAGATTTCCGATTATCGAACACCTTGGAGTGGAATACGTCAAAAAGATATGTCCCGCGGAATACCATATTCTTGTGTTCATGAAGATGTTAAGAGTATCATAGAAGTAAGCACTAGTTTTTATTATTCATTAACTGGAAGGTTATCTTATCAATTATGATGGCAAGATTAAGCAAGATAAGCACATGACTGTCGATCAGTATAGTTGGTTGAAATCCGATTAAGATTTCTGAATTTCATCAGTTTCTACCGAATGAAAATTTTAATATATCTCTTTCTCTTTTGTATAGAATCGTATTGTGGTGGGACATATGATCGAAAATGATTTCTCTGTCTTAAATTTGAAGCATCCTTTTCATTTGGTGCGTGATACCGGAAAAGTTTCGTATCTCAAACTGCTTGCTGATTTTCCTGTAAAAATTCCCGTTGGGTTGAGAGCTCTTTCACTTAGACTTTTCGGTTAGTTTTTATATTTTTCTTCCTCGAATTTATTATTTTCAATGGATTTTTTCAAAATCTTTGTCATCAATTTTCGTCATCTGTGGACATTATTCTGTGTATGACATACCAAACGGACATAATCAAAGATAACAGGGGACCTGATATAATTGCATTATCTGTTCAGTATGCCACACTTTTCGTCGACACAACGAAATGAAGCCGACAAGAACTGTAAAGAACAGTAATATCAACTGCAGTCGCTGAAGATTTAGACCTCAAAGAAGCAAAGATGTAATGATCTTTAGAAATCTCATTTTCAAAACTTGGTGGGAGATAAGGCTGGAATAGATCTTAGCTACCTCGGTTTATTTTGGACCGTTTTATTAAGCAACTTAAACCGATACGCTTCTGTACAATGTTCTACGTTGATTCTGTCTATCTGTCTATCATTTATCGGTTTTTGTTACTACGGTGATTCCACAAAGGAAACTTACATTTCTTTACCTGATTCAGAACAACAGTCAGTCGCGACTAACGTTAGACGAAAGTGCTCAGCTTGGGTTGGTGTTATGAAGTGTAACGATGCCGCTGTTTTTTTATCCTCGACTAGTCCTATTCCAGTTACTCATGATTAATACAAAGAATTGAGTTTTACCGGACTTTTTGAGCAGTTGGGGAATCAGTAACAGCGGATTAAAATTACATTCACTGTCATATAGATGAATAGTCATTAAGGTGATTCAAAATAATCTGTTTATGCTTATGTTTATGAATGAATAAAATTCTTGAGTAATGCAGTTTGAGTAATACTAATCGCAGGTAATTGAATCTTATGACTATAAAAATCATGTTTTCTGGGAAATACTTGTGCTTCCTTTACTAGTAACATATTTCAGTCATATCAGTCGGTAAAAGTTTATATCAACTGACTTACCTCATTAATGTAGTACTGGATGATTGACTAGATTGGCTGTTCAATGGCTACAAGACATACGTGATGGTACAAAGGTAATATTGAATTAACACCTGTGAACTTCGCAAGTCAGCTACTTTTAAAGAACATACTTCACACAGCCTTACGGGTGTTCGATTGTCTAACCTGAATCACAAGTAGCAAACTCTAAACTATTCTTTTGCATTTGTGTTGATAATTCATCCACTTGGAATATGTGACTAGCCAAGTAAATACTTAACTCACTGTGTTTCCTAGTGTTGAATGGGTTGTTGATGTGGACCAATCCTGAAGCGACAATTTATACTTCATACCTTAGAATTCTCGAAGGACTTTTATCGGCCCCAATAACTGACAAAATGTCTTCGTGGGAAGCTTACCCTAATCACTAATAGTATTTCGGGAAAAGTGAAGAATGAATCTTACCAAAAGCTTTTAGTTTTGCTCCAAAAAGCCCAACTTCCAGAAATAATCACATCAACAAATGACTTTAGTGTGCAACTGAGGGAGGGGGCGGGGTAAAGACATTGAGCGATTACCTTCAGAATTCCACAACCGACTAATCAATAAGGGTAATCGTTGCATGAAGTAGTGTCCTTATAATCACTTGTCCATTTCGAGAAATAACTGCAAACATAAGATTTGGTATTATTGAATTTAACAGTCACTGTTATCAAGCAAACGAAGGATGCATGAATTACGTTTCTGTTAATCATCGATATATTTCATGAAGTAAATGCATAAAATTCAACTGAGCAAACATTTGTTTTTGTCTATGATGTTGACTAAAGTGCGATTGGATTGGAAGAAGGTTAAAGATGGCCAGATAAACACATGAGACCAGACGATGAAGTCTCTGCATGTTGGTTCGTGAGCTGTGTAGCGAGATATAAACTGCTTGTTTCGACTGCTTGTTTTGATCAGTAGTTTAAGAAACGGAGACATGAACAACAGTTCACTACCTTACCTACAATAGGTTTTGTGTTGTGTCAATCATAGATAAAGTTCAGTTAAGATACAAATGATAAACTGGGAGAAGAATTATCTATTATTTAGAAGATTCTTTGAGCAGAGTTGATATCTGAAGAAGTTTATTCTGATTGCATGATAGAGAATATTACTGAAAAACCTAAATGTTCTACTGCTAAAACAAAATAGGTTTTTATTTATCTGGTATTTAACGGAGGAGAGATATCGAAAATATTTGACAAGCGGATAAAAGGTTCTTTTTGTTAGGCTAATATAAATTTAAAAGAATATGTGTTTGTTTAGTGAGTGTGAAGTAGATAAATGCCCTGCTCAGGTCACTTTCAACTGTATATACCAATTCACATGCGACTATTGCGGATAGAAGTACATAGGAAGGATTGAAAGAATGACAGATACTTGATTTTATTGAAAGAAATTTGTGTTCGAAAGCCAGCAAAGTCTTTCTTGAAAATGCAATAGCCAGACAAAAAAATGAAAGATGGTCACTAAGTAGATTTTTCCGAAGTCTTCAGGATAATCTAGGAAAATATCCCAGTTTACTATCAATCTTTCGAAAAATGGCAACCAGACGCTTTATAAACTGACATTTGTGTATACACAAAAACAGATTGTGATTAATCTTACTTTACCCTGGTAATTCAATGTTATTTCGGCTGCATCATTTCTTCCCTTCTAGCTAATGAGTTTTAATCGTATTCATTTGATGTTGTTTTTTTTTTGATTATTACTAATGAGCTTACTCCATTCTTCAATGGTTTAACAACTCTTTTACCGTTAATCTTTGTGGAGCTGTTGCTCAGTGGTTTAAGGAGATGACTATCAACCATTGGGTCACTCATTCGAGTCTCGCTCCACCTACCAGGGTTCACGTAGCCAGGTAGTGTAGCTAGGCCTCACTCATTAGGTATGACTCATCGCCTACTGCACGAACATGTAAAAGATTGCTGAGTCCATTGGGTTACATTACCGTGAATCTTTGCTCGTTTGACATTTTTATCTACCTAGGATTATTGGTCTAATCACATAAATTATCATTATACGTTTAAGTAGGCGACACAATGCTGCTTGTACATTCATACTGGAGCAGGTAATTACTTCAGGGGGTTACATTCTAGTTGTGGTTCCACGTTTAGAATCCGTAAGCCGGTTAATTGCTGTCAAAAGCTGCATTTGTACACAAAATGTTTTTACCGTTAGTTACAAAACCGATTTGTTGAACCTGTTGATAATCATCTACGAGAGTATGTACCAGTAGGTAGAAGAAAATAAGTAAAGTGAAAACATGTAGTTTATTGTTCATTCATATAAATGATGACTAAGTGGGTTACCAAGGGAAACGTTATCACAGCTTTTGTACACCGCCTATAGAATGAATGGATCAAGAAGACTGTAAATAAACATCTATTCATTGGAGGTGTGAATTTGAATCTGGAATAGTATTATTTACATATTGGTTGGCCACTAATCGAATTCTATCGATCATTTTGCAATGTGGTCACTAAGCTATGAGGTTTAGCATCGTGGAGCACTTGGATAAATATTGGTTGGTTGGAAGCAATCGGCGCAAATGGCTCAGTGGTAATATCGCTGGCTGTAACACTGGACGACGCAGGTTCCAGTCTCACAGGGCGTATCTCCTCCCCTGAGGTTTCAGATACGCCTTGCTGACGAGTCTCAGTAAGCACGAAACCCAGGTCTACGGGCTTCCTCTCGACTGCCTCCAACCAACTAGTATTATTTATACTGATAGCACTCAAGATCAAAAGATTCTGATCATCTAGGTAGTATTTAATTCATATTGTTTCAACCCTTTTTTATTTATTTTTAAGGTATCTGTATTCAAGATCATGAACACTGTTCGACTGAAGATGCTCGTGCATCAATGGCTCTCTATCGGTTAGTTGAAAAACAGTGGGAAGAGGATTTACGTAGAAGTTTGCACAAAACTGCTAAAGTTCACAAGGACAATTCACCCTCGAACAACTGTCAAGATATATCATCGAATGACTTACGTAAAGTAGAACAACTGCATCCTTATCCTTCACCGCATTCTGTCGAATACTCTCTTGAAGAGCTAGCTGATGAATCCAAATCATTGGTAGATGATAACAATAGTAATAACGGTGATGATGGTTATGATGATAATAATAAGGATAATAAAAAACGTAAAACTGTGTGAATACTTCAATTGTGATGTCATATTCTAATTTGTCATTCGATGCATTGTTTGACAGTTTCGTATCATTTTGTATTTCGCTATTGATGACTTTGTGAGTATCACGTTCTGAATCGAATGAATGATGTGAAGAATACTTTATCTTTGACAAGTGTTAGAGAGAATAATAACTACTTGTCTTTTTTGGACTTATTGATCGGTTGACAGCAAGTTGAGTCAATAAAACGATCTATCTATCTATCTATCGAAAGGCTACATGGACACGACAGTACTTAAAATATCACAGTGTCTTCCCGGTCCAACACAAACGAGGTTTAGTGAGATGCCTATTGGATGGGATTCAACGAATATGCACAGCCGATAAGTTGGAAGAAGAGATAAGATTACTGATGGAGGCGTTAATTCAGGGCAACCACCTGTTGGAGTTTATAAGTCGACATAAACTTGACAATATCTTGAGAAATACTGTCTACTCTGTCCCAAAGAAAGATATATGCACCACACTTCCGTACACTGATGATGCAAACAGCTTGATAGTCAGACAGAGACTTAACGCTACCATCAACAAAGTATATTATCCAGTCAAGGTTCGGATAATTGAGAATTCGAAGCCTATGTATCCATGGAAGCCCTTGGGAAAAGTGTAAGATGAAGTCACAACTCATTGTAGCTACCAATTTATCTCTATGTGTGGTCACATGTACATAAGGAAGACTCATTGATCATTGAAAATAAGAACCACAGAATATATTTCAAAGCGGTTTCAGAAGCAGAGTCTCCTGACCCGATTAATGTTAGAAATAAACGTCCGAGCTCCTCAATAGCTAAACTTAGTATAGCATATAATAGATGTACTAACGTCATTTGAGTAAGAACAGACAGTGGGAGCAGAATAATATGGATCCGCTTTATCATTGTCAGTTCTTGTTAGTTACTTACAACCTAGAATATTTACAATAAAATATTAAAATACTTCAGTTTAGTGAGTTCATTCAAAACGAGAAAACAATATAGTGAATTGAGGAAGCTGTCATGATCTCGTCTTGACTAAACTTACTGAGTATTAGTATGCTCATATTTTATTATTGTAAATATTCTAGGTGGTAAGCAGTTGATGAGGACCGACGAAATAATAATAAGTAAATGTGTGGTCAAACTGTTCGAAATATGTTTAACGAATGTATTACACGATTCACATAAATTACGTCTTCTTATTTTCGTACCGAAATTCATCAAGACAACTAATTGTTTCATATTCATTTTCTCTTCTTGTTAGTCACTGTTATACAAAATATCAATTACGAAACAATCTGTTTAACATTTCACAAATGTTAACTACTTAATTAGTCTATACTTCTGATATTGTTGTAATTACCTTGATTAATTATCACCACTAGACTGGAGAGTTATTCTGTAGTTTGCGGATGCCACCCGACCGATAGCTGCTACCTTGTCGTGGTGGTCGGGCTTGTATATCACGCTGACCCAACAGGCTACGCTGGTGGGAAGGTTGTTCCCTCGGCGTCCTATCATACCAGGAAGGTCTGTTTGATAATGGTTAGAGAAAAAGGCAATTACCCTTAACATGTTCTTAAACAATAAGATGATGCATTATGGTGGTTTGGATCAGTCACCAGGAGTTAGTAGTAATCCAAAACCACAAGACGTATGTCCAACTACCATCTCCCGTGCTAAAAGCCGGTTGTCGTAGCATCAAAAAGGCCGTACGTGATTGGCTTCAAGCAGATGTCTCCTGGGCTCTACGGTCACACATATCTCTTTTTTTCAGGTACCTTAAGAAGAAATAGCCTTCCGTGGCGTAAGCAGTTGAGAATTGTCAACCGCCCGCACGCTTGCAGTAGGTACACAACCCAACCACACATAACTTATCCCCTTCAACTCTGTCTCCTCCTTTACTTTCACCTACTGAAACCAATATTAAACTTCTTTTGCGTTACCCAACTCCTCACTCTGCAACTATTGTCAACAATCAAAGCCATCGATGCCTCATTCCTAGTCTCCTGAAACTCCGCTATCTATTTCACGTAGGAGCTTTCAACGTCCGAACTGTATGTCAAATAGGGCAGCAAGCATCGCTCGCTGAAACTCTGGATCTCTGGCCATGGATGTGTGCTGTGTCTTTAAGACACGTATACAGGACCCTAGTTTGGTTACTAAATTGACCTCACCTGACCAGTGTAGTGAATCTTCAAACTTCGGTTTACGAGTATCCGGAGACGGAATGACCAACTCTTGTGGACTTGCTGGTGTAGGTATAGCATTGAGTCGTAAGGTACAAAGTGCGCTCCTCCAGTAAACAGTCGTCTATGTGCTGTTCGACTGAATGGAACTTTAAGAACTGGGAATAGTGGTGAAACTTGCTGAGACCTATTCGTAATCTATACGTACACACCCACTGATTGCAGTTTAAATGATTAAAAGGGTGAATTTTATGCAAAGCTGTCAATTTTCCTATTGAAAGCAAAATGTTCAGATGTAGTCATAATGGCAGGTGATTTTGACGCTCAAGCAAGGAAGTTGAGTCCATGGTAAAAGCATCTTGGAGGTACTTACTTAATCCCATACCAACGAGCCGACAAGGGTGATCGTCTCTTGCAGTTTTGTCCCTACAGTCACTTGTTTCTGGCCAGTACTAACTTTAAGCATATAGAGAAACACTCTTACATGTCGTCCGCTGACATTAAACCAACGATGGACACAGATGGATCATATTGCTATAAGCCATGGTTGAAGAGGAACGGTGGAGGATTGGCGCTCTTTTTGGAGTACTAGCTTGAACTTCGATCATACGCTATTACAGGATCGTGCGTGTCTGTGCCTTTCTTGTCACAGAAAACAGGCGAGAGTGTAGCATGTTTATGGTCGGTCGGAAGATCACGCTAAATATGTATTTAGGGAGGAGTTAACTGAGCATTTATCTGAGCATGACAGCAATGCTCATGGTGAGGAAACCGGGCATGACATTAGATCTGCTGTAAAAACAGCAGTAGAGACACTTGGTAATCTGCACCCGATGGTTAACAAATATTACTGGGTTTCCGAAACGTCATCCGAACTGACTGATGCGAGAAAACCGATTCCAGCTGGCTCTGACCACGATAAAGAGCGAAACCAACTCAAACATAAGTTGATCAAGAGCCTGTGAGTTGTTCACGAGCGATTACGTAACGCTTATCAAAGCTCTCTACTCAAACTCATGTGGCTGTGTAACTGCCTATAGAGAGTTGTCAAGTGAGTTGACAAACAATAGTGGTATCCGGCTATCCGGCAGGTATGCCCACTGTCACCATTCTTATTTGACTTCGTCATGGACGTACTAATGGACATAACCTTGGGTAAATATGACTTCGCAGGGATTGATCTACCACCTAGAAGTCATCTGGTTAACTTGGAGTAGCCGGACGATTGTGTCCCGCTGGTTGAGGACACTGATACAAATCAAGGTCTTCTGAACTCGTTGAGCAGAAATCTATGTTTGGTATGCATTTCGCATGTGCCAAATGTAAAGTGATGCTCCAGATATGACTGGTCTGCTGTAAGTACTGCCAGCTTAACGACAGGGAGTGAAGTAGTGGGATGTGCTGACCGATTCACTACTTGAGGAGTTGCATCATCTCGAACGGGCTGGTGGCTGACAAGATCTCAGCTCGCATATAGAAAGCCTATTTTTATTGTTTTTCTTAGTGGTTGAGGAAAATGATACACAATAAAAGGTTAGAGGTCAGACAGCGGATCAGCCAATAAGAAAATCTTTGCAATCAATAACACAATCAAAAGAGACAACTAATCACAACTTAGCTTCTCAGGGTAGGCTACTGAATCACTCACTAAGAGATATTGACAGCTCACTTCACATTGAAGTCAGTACTGATGATGATGTCTAGAAAGACAATAAAAGCTTCACGATTAAACCACCCAGTTCAGAGAACACGACACAACTAAGGTATTCTGTTGTGCTAGGTGCATAGGAACACCCAGAGCAAATTTTCTAACGTGATGAGTTCAGGTTAGTTCAGGTCAACCAATGGTTTTGCCTTACAGAGTTTACTTGTTGAAGGATTTATAACCATCGGGCATTCATTTTGTATAGTTTCCCTAATATAACAGAATTTCTCTGAATGTGTAAGGAAACAGCCAGTTTATATTGCTGAAGTAGTATAAAAGTGGAGTCAGGCTATCTTCGTAACTCCTATCATCATCCTTGTAAAATAGGAAAAGTTTGTCAACCAAGATTATTTCAGATATAGTCCAACTTCCTTTTTGTCATCAAGTTAATTCTGAATCCAAATACTGAACTCTTCTTCTTTGACGACTTTTTTATGTGGTATTACTTTTTTGAATGCAACTCAAAGTAACTTGTCATATTTACTTAACCAATATGTCAAATGTGTTTAATACTTCATACATGTGAAGCTGTGGTTCATCGGTTTAGGCAGTTAACTTTCAACCAATAGATCATGGGTTAGAACAGTGCTTCAACTACCATGGTTTGGGCAACCAGGTGGAGTATCATTAACCTTTGCACAATGTTACTCTGGAAATTGCATTCTTTGTTTGTGGTGAGATAACAGTAAAACACATTGATGTTATTTCCTAATAAAGGAATATTTGAATCCATGTGTTATCACTGGCTATACGCTAGGATGTGGCTCTTAACTTTCATCAATAGGTCCTATATTGGAATCTCTCCCCACCTAATTCGGTCTGGACATGGAAGTAGCATCAAGAAGTTATATGCATTAAGTGTGACTTAAAGTATTTTAGATAGACATATACCAGATTACTAGGTCGAGTTATAACTTCAGTATCTTTAAGTGACCTTTTCCTGAAATGGAAGACGGAAAGATCCATGGTTATGATGGATAAAATTGAGGGATAGAATTTAGTGGTTTATAGTAAACCTCTGCAAGTCAACTAATATTATTTCAGTTAAAAGTCAACGAAGTTGCAACTACTCGAGTTGACAGAAGTGTTATTTTACTAATATCTAACTTAGTTTCACTATGGGTTATTAATCGGATCTTGGAAGCATTCATGCAGGATACATATCGTTAAGCTTGTAAACCGATGACTCATCTGATCGGTTCTTACAAACGCTAAGTCTCTGTTATAAACATTCTACCATCATCTAGTACCAATTTTATCGAATATGCTGATGACCTGACAGTTTCTATACTTGTCTACTCTTCGATGGATTCTTTTCAACTGCGCGATTTCCTATCTGCTGTTAGACTGAAGTCCTCTGTGAATGGTCTTGTGCTTAACTCATCAAAATGTCAGACTATGAACTTCATTTTCAGACACTAACATAACCTATGTGGACTGCTCAGGTCTCATGATTCCTGATGTATTTATGGTTGTGTATCAGAGAATGTTGCAAGTGGGATTT